ACACACACACACACACACACACACACACACACACACACACACACACACACACACACACACACACACACACACACACACACACACACAAAACAAATATTCAAAATTAAGATGGACAGTCAACAGTGATGCTTTGAAGTTATCATTTAGGTACCTGTAGTACATGTTCATGTCTGTCAGAGTTTTTAGTACACATGTTACTGCTAGTACAGGATGCACTGATAGGGTGGCTGTAGCTCAGGCGGTAGAGCAGGTCATCCACTGATTGGAAGGTTGGTGAATTGATTCCTGGCTTCCCCCTAGTCTGCATGCCAAATATCCTTGGGCAAGATACTAACCCCATGTTGCTCTCTGATGCATCCATCGGAGTGTGACTGTGTATGAATGTTAGATAGGCACTAACAGCTTAGAAACAGTGCTTGTGTGAATGGGTGAATTAATTAATTGTGTAAAGTGCTTTAAGTGTTCAGATAGAGTAGAAGAGTGCTATGTAAGAAACGGTCCATTTACCGTAGTGGATAACCTTCTTAATATTATTCCACACAATTTATTCGATATTTACAAGTTTACAATTTATTAGATATTACATTGTATTTAAAACAGTAATATAACGTGTACTACTATTTGATTTTCTTTGTTAAATCAATTTGTTTTGTGAGGTTTTGTTGTTGTTGTTGTTTTGTAGTACAGCAATATATTTGTGTGGCACAGATGTACTTACGGAGTTTCCAGGCTTTTTCTGCAGTGAGTTATTGAAAGAGGGGGGTCTGGAAGATAGGGAACAAAAAACAAAACACTGTAAACTGTAAATACACTGGTAGGGGAGGGAGAAAACAAGCACTTCACTTAGAAGCTGTACAAATAAAGGCAAGGTCATTTGAAGTAGTCCAATGAGCTGTTTTTATTCCTATTTATTTTCAGCCGAGCCTCAATATTAAGATTCATAATGTGGAAAATATCGTTTTGCCATTCACGATAAACTTGTCTGACCCAACACATAAAAGGCTTATAAAACTAGACTCACCAAAGGCAACATTAGCATGGCTGCTGCAGGGCTTGGAGCAGGATTTGAACGTGAGCGACAGAACAGCAGTAAAATGCAACAGAGGCTTAAAAACATCAACATAAATATAATGACTGACTGCAGCTAAGAATCTATCACTTTTAGCTTTTGATGGCTATGATGGCAGTATAAAGCAGCAGATCACGAAAAAGAGAAAAACGAGTACAGCAACAAATAATGTGTAATTCCATAAATATATTCAAATCAATGAAAAACTTTTCTTTTAACAACTTAAAAGGATGTTCTAACCTTGTTTTTTTGTAAAATGCAATGTTTATATTTAGGAACACCCGTTCAACTGCTCACTCATGCAAATATCTAATTAGTCAGTCACTTGGCAAAAATGATTTGCACTTAGGCATGTAGACATGATAAATGCTAAAGTTCAAACCAAGCATCTGAATGGGGAAGAAAGCTGATTTAAGTTACTTTGAAAGTGGAATAGTTGTTGGTACCTCTACTACCATCTACTGGGATTTTCTCACAGAACCATTTCTAGGGTTTACAGAGAGTAAACACAGCATGTCTTTATCCTGTCTTCCTTCTGTCACCCCAACCGGTCATGGCAGATGGCCCCGCCCCTCCCTGAGCCTGGTTCTGCCGGAGGTTTCTTCCTGTTAAAAGGGAATTTTTTTCTTCCCACTGTCGCCAAAGTGCTCATAGGGGATCGTATGATTGTTGGGTTTTTCTCTGTATGTATTATTGTAAGGTCTACCTTACCATATAAAGCGCCTTGAAGTGAGTGTTGTTGTGATTTGGCGCTGTATAAATAAAATTGAATTGAATATTCCAAAAAAGAGAAAATATCAAGTAAGAAGCAGTTCTCTGAACGAAAATGTATCATTGATGTCAGAGATCAGGGGAGAATAGCAACACTCTTTTGAGTTGATGGTAATTCAAATACCATCTTGCTACAACCAAGGTATGCAGAAGAACATCTCTGCATACTCAGTGTATCAAACCTTGAAGTGGATGGGTTATAGCAGCAGAGACCACACCAGGTGCCAGCCTTATCAGCAAAAACAGGAAACTAAGGCTACAATTTGAATAGGCTTACCAAAATTGGAAAATAGAAGATTGGAAAAACATTATCTGGTCCATGAGTGAATTTCTGCTGCAACATTCAGATGAATGGATCAGAAACAAGATGATATTGCGGGTGGAGCGCTGCTGACTTAGACTGAGAACATTGTTGGACAGTGGAAGGAATACTTTAAGGACCTCCTTAATCCCACTGGTACGTCTTCCGTGGAGGAAGCAGAGTCTGGGGAGGGGAAACACTCACCTATTTCTGGGGACGAGGTCATTGAGACAGTGAAACAACTCCTTGGTGGCAGAGCCCCTGGGGTGGAGGAGGTTCACCCTGAGTTCCTAAAGGCTCTGGGTGTTATAGGGCTGTCTTGGTTGACATGCCTGTACAATGTTGCGTGGAGATCAGGGGCGTTACCTCTGGACTGACAGACCGGGGCGGTGGTTCCTATCTTTAAGAACGGGGACCGGAGGGTGAGAAAGTCTATGCCAGGTTGCTCCAAGCGGAGGAGTTTAAGATCAAGATCTTGGGATCTTGTTCACGAGTGACGGGAGAAGGGAGCGGGAGATCGACAGACAGATTGGTGCTGCGGCTTCAGTGTTGTGGAAGCTTTACCAGTCTATCAAGGTGAAGTGAGAGCTGAGCATAAAAGCGAAGTTCTCAATTTACGTGTCAATATACGTCCCTACCCTCAACTATGGTCATGAGCTGTGGGCAGTGACTGGAAGAATGACATACAAGCGGCAGAAATGAGGTTTCTCTGAAGGGTTAGGGTTAGGGCTACTCCCTTAGAGGCAGGGTGGGGAGTTTGGCCATCCAGGAGGGGCTCAGAGTAGAGCCACTGCTCCTCCACATCGAAAGGTGGTTTGGGCATCTGACAAGGATGCCTCCTGGGTGAGGTGTTTATGGTGTCGCACCGGGAGGAGGCCCCAGGGCAGACCCAGGACATGCTGCGGGGATTATATCTCTCAGCTGGCCCGGGAACGCCTTGGTGTTTCCCCGGACAAGCTGGAGGTGGTGGGTGGGGAGGGGGAGGTCTGGGCTCCCCCCTGTGCTCTCTGCTTAGGCTGCTCCCCCCACCACCCAGCCACGGATAAGCGGAAGATGGATGGATGGATGCTTTCTGACTTTCAGAATCTATAATTATTAAAATTTTTAATTGTATGTTGTTGTTGTCTTTAGTTTTTAACAAATAACACGTTTTAATATACATAAAACATGCACCAACATAGTCACCACCATTAAATCTTAGCTCCTTAAATCACTTTTGTTTATGTTTGATTAGTTAAGAGCATAAACATTTAGCAAAAAGGAGTGTGAAGAAATTAGAAAGAAAACAAGCGAGATGGGAAAATAAAATCAAAGAATAAGAAGTACTATCCAGAATGTTTATGCATGATGATACAATAGTTGCTGCAGAACCTCCACAAGTTAAGCAGCTGACATGTTTCAGGTTTTTAGGATTAGCTTAGTGAATGTGGGAAGTTAAATATATATATTAAATATAACAAGCTTCCCCTCACCTCTTTTCCTCTTGAGTTTTCTCCGCCGCTGCTTGTTGACAAAGCAGGCAGCCATGGTACTGAAAAGGACAGCTGCTGCCAAGAAGCAGATGGTGGCCACAATACCAGCCACCACAGGCCGTGCCAGTCCACGCTCCTCCACCAACTCTGGAGGAGGAAAGAAATCTGAGGGGGAAGAGAGAGGGAGACAAAAGCATAATGAAGTCGAACAGCAAATTCATGACAGAAACAGAGCCCTATACTCCAGGTATGCAGACCGTGAGGAAACATCACAGCAGAGGAACATATACCAATTTTTGTTTGCACACTGAATTTTTGACATGGCCATCCTTTATATTAATGCTATACTCAGCATTCAATTTGTGGCTCCAAAACAGAGACTGATATTTACTATGAGATATACCACACAGATGTGAGTTTACTGGTAAAGAGCACACTGTCCCTGCTCTTTGATTAAAACTAAACCAGGACTTTCTGCTGTTTTCTGGCAGCTTCATCTGCAAAATTAGAGCAGCAGAGTTCACTCGTTTCTGTGTTCCTGTAGAAGAGCCTCCAAAAACATTCTGTCCTGTCCAATAAAATTCAAATATATTCAAGCTGACCTTTACTGCTGCATATGTCTTCTGCAGGGTGCATGTCACAATGACTAAGCAGAATGCCAACTTTTCCTCCTATTCAGAACTACATAGAAGGTAATGTAATTCATGCACTGTTTTGATTGATTGCGTGGTTAACTAATGTGGTTAGACTGGCTTAGACAAAAAAGAAAATCTTGTGTCTGATGAAATTCAATTAGCTTAGTGTCTGCTGAACAGGGTCAAAAAAATGTATAAATACATTTTGTTAGTATGAAACGTGTGATTGACTTTTACACAGTAATCAGTAATTGGTTTACATTAGTGCTCCTTACATTTCCGAAGTTCCCTAAATCATCTCTGAGTGGGAAGTAGATGAGAAACTCCATCACATATGTTGTTATCCCTTGTGTGTTTTTTGTAACCAAAAACTGTAATTCTATAAATGTTTCATGTGTTCAGAGCCAGAGGGCAGAGGAAGATCAAATGCAGAGTTTGAAAAAACACGAAATGTTAATAAAAACTTCAGGCAGGAAGTAAAAGTTTGACAGTGAGTTCATGAAATGTGGACAAGAAGACTAGTTTATATTTATTACTAATATTGAAGAATGTTACTTGCCAGAATTAAGTTGAAGAGGAAAGAAGGAAGAAATGGTTACAAATATTTAAACCCTACAGTATAAGAAACATTCTCAGGTAAAGAAGCTGGTTGCTGCTGTCTCTCACACTGTGCCTTACACAGACATTCATTTTACTGGCCAGCAGGGGGCAACTCCTCTGGCTGCAAAATAAGCTCGCTAGTTTCCTTTTGGTCATTTCATAAATTCTGAACTATTAGAGTAAAGAAGAGGACAAAGCAGGGTTTCTTCTAACAGTGTTTCTTAGTTAGATCCACTTGTTGGTGACTTCAGTTGCACAAGGTGGGTAACCAATGGGTCACACCAAAGTAGTTATATCCACCTTTTATATATGGAGGCTCCACCTAGTAGACCAACAAGACCTGTAAGAGTCTGTTGAAGTGCCAGACACCAAAATGAGTCAATCCATTAGACCTCTATGTTAACGTCTTACATTTTGCTGCATTATAAAGCGTTCCGCCTTCACAGTTACTGTACAGCAGATTAATTTTCTTTATAATTGACACGTGTGCCGACAGAGGCAGCTGTAGCTGATAGCTGGCCTAGGCCTCAACGCTCTACAATGCTTGTGTTGCTGGTGCTTGTCGGAAGATTTTAATTGAATTACCTGACAAATCATATGTCCTGCTGTATAATAGAGTCCATCTAAGAAGCTTGTGCTTTTGTTTGTGTGGGCAAAAACTCTGTTATAATAATACTAATTAATATTTAACTGTAATTAAAATAATGGCATTACTATAATTAAAAGCCAGCCAATGCAACAAAGAGGACAATGTTTCTGCTGTGCAGCTATGATGTCTGGTCGTGGATTTACAAATTTCTACAACTGCCCTCAGTTGAAGGAGTTGGTTCAGTTATCTCTCAGTGAAACCAGGAGGTACAATGGGTCAACTTCTGTTATGAACTTGTGAGAGTAGTTTATGTGCTACAGATGATGTATGATTAGCAAAACACAAAGTATTGTTAATGCAGGAACACCCGACCAGTGAATCACTGCTCAACTATCCAAATCACCTTTGTCATGTTTGAAAGGACAGAGTGTATCCACATCACGTTGGACAAAATTTAAGGAAAACATAGTCAAATAAATTCCATATCAACAGAGAAATGAGCAGAAGCATTTGATCATCGTACAGCGTAGTTCCCAGTTTTACCAGAGGGGGGAAGCAGAGTACTTCCAAAAACAAGTGAAAATCTGGTCTATAAATGTTACCAGCAGCTGTTCCTACTAAACGGAGTGTACTCAGTGACCTCTGTAGAGGAGTGCCATCATATATGAATAGTTTAATTTCAGACCCCAAACACAGTCTTTTTTTTTTTTTTTACAGCCAAACAAAACTGGCTTTTTTTTAAATCAGGAAGCCACCCAGTACAATCAGTGGAGAAGCAGACAGGAAGATGATGTCATCCTCCTCAGGATGCTACAAAGGAGTGTCCATGTTAAAGCGAGCTTAAAATGAATTGTGCTGAGTGGGTAAAATGTAAAGTTGGTGTTGCTGAGTGTGCAATACATCTACCACCCCTCTTCAGCTCAGAGATGTTAGGCTAGCCCGAGGTTAAATATGCAGTTTGCAGCTAGTTGTTGGGTTGCAACTCACTGAGCAGCTTTATCTATCATTCTTCTTCTCTAAGCTTCATTATTCTTCTATACATACTGGATAATGTAGGGTTCTTACACATAATAGCTCTATATACATATTCACATTTCACCTGTTAGTCATGGCCACAAATGAAATTCTAACATTTTAAATGATCTAATGCCTCACCTGTGCTGGACACTCCAACTACGTTACTAGGCTCGCTGATCATGTCATCCATGATGGCCATGACGCGGAACTCATACCACGCCTCCTGAGACAAAAAAGAGATTATGTTATCAGAAATGTTCAGTAAGTCTGAACCTGTAAAATTCCACTGGCATCTCCAAAGACCACCAAGCTACAACAGTCCAAGGCTTTGGAAACTTTGGAAATAGAACTCAGATGAACAAAACTCCAATATACGAGCATACTGTCATTATTTATTTAACAAAATCCACCTTTAGCAGGATACTTCAAGTAATTGCTTTCCGTATGATTTCATCAGAGGAATTTTGACCTACTCTTCTTTAACGTTTCTTCATTTGTACTGGACATTCCATTCAATTCTTCCATCCATCCATTATCTTCCACTTATCCAAAGCTGGCTATGTTGCCACACAGGAGCAGCAGCTCTACTCCGAGATCCCTCTGGATGTCGGAGCTGCTTTCCCAAATCTCTAAGCCTGAGCCTGGTCATGCTACAGAACAAACTCAAACTTTTAGTCATTTACCCAGACTTCATGACCATTAAGTTATATAACCAATGTGAGAGCTGTGTCTGGATCCGTGTCACAAATTCAAGCACATATTCATTGGGTGTTGGAATCTTTCAGGGTTCCCCCTCGTCTCCAATCCTGTTCTTGATTCATGGACAGGATCCCAAGATAGCCTCGGTGAGGAGGCTGTCCGCTTTCAGAGCTACAGAATAGGATCTCTGCTTTTTGCAGATGATGTAGTTCTGTTGACTTCATCAGATTCATTCAGATTTTCTGTTTTCAAATTTAAAATTGACTAAGATTAAGACTTGAGACTACAAGAAGGGCCTATTATGTAAAAGTATCAGGCAACAAATCAGAAGAGTGTCTATTAGATCTCATCCCTTCAAGACTGCTCCAAGAAGTCCTACCATTAATCAATGATTCAATCCTAAATGTGATCAGTCTATATCTATTAATCGTCTAGTTACCACAGACCTTTAAGGTTGGAGTAGCTAAATCATTACTTTAAACGTCATCACTTGACCCAGCTATCTTAGCTTATTACAGGCCAATGTTTGTTTTGGTAAATGAACTGGTTGTAATAGAGCACTTTTTAATTCTGCCTGTGTACTCAAAGCACTTGTACTCAAAAAACTTGCGTCATTCACCTTTTTTCTATATGTTAGTGCTTTCAATTTAAGATTCACAGATAACAAACACCAGACAGAAAGAATGACTGAATGACCCCTAATTTTCTGCTTCTAAATTCAGTTGAAACTGAGGTTAATGTACTCAGTCCTAAACATTTTAAGAAACATGGTGTCTAACCACTGTGGATGGCATTACCTTGGCCTCCAGTAACAACGTGAGAAATTATGGAGTTGTTTCCTTAACCAGGATATGTTCTTCAATGTGCATATTAAACAAATGTGTGGGACTGCCTTCTTTGCAATGCTTATTGCATTGGCACAATATTTTTAAAATTTGAAACATCCTGTTTCAGAGTAACGCTGAAAAACTAGTTACTGTTTTTATTACTTCTAAGCTGGACTATTGTAATTCCTTATTATCAGGATGTCCTAAAAACCTCTTGCAAAGCTTTCAGTTGATCCAAAATACAGCAACACCCAGCTCCCAGTTTGGATTCGGGAGACACGGACTCTTCTCTACTTTCAAGGTTAGGCTTAAAACTTTACGTTTTGACAAAGCATATAGTTAGGGCTGAATCAGGTGTTTATGCACCACTTTGCATTTAATCATTAGTTACTATTAAACTCGGGCTCTCCTCCACAGCATGTCTTTTATCCTGTCTTCCTCCCCTCACCTTGCATCAGATTGCTACCTCTCCCCTGAGCCTGTTAGGATGGACAGTGGGCAACAGTAGGAATGAAAAACTCTCCTTTAACAGGAAGAAACCCCCGGCAGAGCCTCTCTGCCACATCTTTCACCATTCTGTGGCAGAGAGGCTTATGTACTGAGGAAAGTCTGTCATTTTAAACTAAAGACTTTCTGGTTTGTTCACATGATCTTTAGTAAACGGCACCTATGTTCTTTTTATTAATTTCTCCTTGTCATACACATCACTGTTGTTCAGAGTACTCCTGAAACTGTACTCATGAACATTAATATTTGCTCTCTGTGAGACCCCAAGTTGCTTCCCATGTATCCTGGGTTCCTCTGTGACTTTGGCTACGTTCACACTGCAGGTCTTGATGCTCAATTCGGACTTTTTGATCAAATCCGATTTTTTTGTCTGGTTGGTCACACTACAAATAAAATGTGACAGCAAACGCGCTCTAGTGTGAACGCTCAAAGCGGCCCGCATGCGCAAAAGAAGACGTCACACGCAACGCGCTCTGTTTAGACCTAGTATTGTTTGACTGATGGCCCCATAAAGACTTGTTTCAGTGTTTACGTTTCCCAATTTTGATTGAAGTTATAAAGTTATTTTGTTATTTACATATGGCCTAATAATGATCCTTATTGCTGTTTAAGAGAGGAGCGGTGCTTCAAAGGATAGTTGCAGAGTTCTGTCAGAATCTGCAGATTATACAGTACAAATAAAATGTTCACGTTTCTCCAACGTTATCTTCCCAACAGTTTCACTGACATCTACACGGGATGGCCAGGAAGCGTTCACGATGTCTTCTCTGGTGCTTCTCTGGCGCTGATAATTGGCGTCTGTCGTGTTAGTGACGTAAAAGACGGATTTAATGCGACATGACCGTTCAAACAGCAGTCGCTTTCTAAAACATCAGATATGTTTCGGATTCAGCACCACATACGAAAGTGACCCAGATCGGATTTGAAAATATCGGATTTGTGCCGTTCACACTGTCAGACCATGATCGGATATGGGTCGAAGCACTTTCACCTGCAGTGTGAACGTAGCCTTTGTAGTCTTTTATGGGCTACTGGAGCATTGGTGAACTACTGCTGAATAGTGGTTCCTTAACCTATATTTTGCGCTCAGAATAATTGCTGTAAGCAATTGGCATCGGAGTGAAAAGAATGTAGTTAAAGGGACAGATTTTTTTCTTCTGAATCAGCATTATCAGAACATATGCCTTTTAATTTGTTGTAGGAAACCATATCCACCAACTCGAAGAAGTAACTAATGCATGCTACAACAAACCTTCTTTCAACCCTTCTTTTTGTCCTCTTGCTATTCTCAAGACATCACACAGGGATTTAAAAAGCTCTTCCTTAGATATAAGAGGCATAAAGTTTCACATCATATTTCACACCAACAAAAATGTACATGATATTCATTAAATACTCACCTGAATCAGATTCAGATTTCTCATTATTTTTCATGTTTCAGGACTACAGACAGCATGCAATATTTTCCCAAAATTGTTGATGTTAGAGAAATTAGTAAAACACATAGAAAAAAAATTGTGAAAACATAAAAGCTCTAACCATGTAAGTGGAATAAATGTAGGCTACCAGTCAGAATTCAGTGTTGCTACAACATATGAATATATCTATATAAGTTTCAGATATCAACAAATTATAATATCAAACAATGGTATGAAGTTGGAGTGGCCTAGTCCAAGTCTGGATTTTTGAGATGCTGGAAATGCTTTCGCATGACCTCAGCAGACCATTCATGTGGCTGAATTAAAACATTTTGAAAAGACGAGTGTGTCAAAGAAAGAAAGAGGAAGCCACAAAGGGGGCAAACAGCTTTTCTATGAAACACACGTTGACCCATGTGACTTTTCTGGGCAGGTTAGACCTTTGATTTTGTAATAACTGAAACTTTTATTCTCTGACTGAAAAAGTCTGCTGAATCTGTGCTGTAAAACCCATGTGAAAATCCCACTCTAGTGGACAAAAACACTGCCTTTTATACAGGGAGTGCAGAATTATTAGGCAAATGAGTATTTTGTCCACATCATCCTCTTCATGCATGTTGTCTTACTCCAAGCTGTATAGGCTCGAA